GTCCGGAGATCCAGCCTGTTGCACCATGGGTAGGGTTGGGTATTGAAAGGGTTTAATATTCGATGCCGGTGCTAAATCGATACTTTCAAAACGGTACAGATTCCTAAACGGTATTTAAATCGGTACTTAACCATTAATAATTTGTCTTTGCACCAAATATTCTTAAATCATTTGTTGTAGGCTGAAGTTTCTGCATCCTTTTGTAAAGTGACACCACACTTTGGACCGATTTGCTTTCGACATCTCGACTGCAACATGTAATGTATAATTGTTAACTGCAGCGGCACCTGTTTAGCCCCTCTCCATGAACTCCGTTCTACTCGATTCACTTTGGGTCGGGTCGGCTCTGCTCAGTGTCGTGTCTCTCCACACAGTGTGTCCCTCACTCTGTGGGTGTGATAATTTGCCGACCGTCCGCAGCGGCTTCAACTATTATGTTAAAAATAATAATAATAAAATAAAATACAAAAGCCATTGTGGTCTTACCGTTCGGACTTCATTTTTATTTATGTATTTATTTATTTATTACGACGGTGCTGTTTAGCTAAGTGCTTGTGTAACCGTTGGCGGCCAATTTGCTGGAAACCTCCCGTGCTCAGCTTCGTCTCCTCCACCTCTCTCCAGGAAATGCTTACAAGTTCTGCCTTTCTGATCACCAAAAAGACAGTTTTATTTCATCATGTTGTCATATCGCGCCGTGCGCTGGGACCTTTGACATTTGGATCGATTCGGTACCAATACGAGGTACCAGGGAATCGGTACCGGCACTTAACTGTACCAATTTTTGGTACTTTGTGTACGTTGTTTTTTTAATGATAAACTTTTTTTTTATTTAAAGGAGACCAATTATGGGTCCTAGAAATGTTTATGGCATGTCTGTGGGCTATCCAGACCATGTTCATTCAATTTAATGCACAAAATAATTCTCAGATAATAAAATTTCCCATTTTCTAGATCTGCCTGCTCTGACTTCCGTTCAGAACAAGGTGTTTATGTTAATGAGCTCTGTTGGTAACGCCCTCCAAACTCCGTCCTCGAGACTCAGCGTTTACATTAGCATGGCTAGAAATAGCAGAAGCTCCGTTGTACAACCGTATATACGAGACCCTGAGTCAGACCCTGAGGCAGAGTCATGGTCGGAGCTTTTTTTTTTCTCCCCCTCCTCCTGTGTCAGAGCTCTGCCCTCACTCTGCATGCTGTTACCAGGGCAGGTAATTGGAGCAGCAGTGGTCAAAATACCTCAGAAACTCGAGAAAATAGGCTAAAGATAAAAACAAAAGAGGTACATGAGAAAACGTGTTCATAACGAATGAAAATAAATAATTAAATTATTTGTGTCCATGTCAGTCTCAAACCCCTGTCACCCGCTCTCTGGTCCTACACTCTACCCATTGCCCTATTGGAAGGCTAGTTGTGAAATGAGCTGCACATTGCACAACAACAACCGTGACGGCTTTTTATACTGGAGGTGGAGCCTCACCTGGGGTTTGCTAGGTGAGGGGCTGAACGCAGGTTCCGGTGGGTTGTCGTACGGCTTGTGACATCACAAAATGTAGGAAGTATAAAACTTGACATTAATTTACATTAAAAATACATTTATTTACAGTAAACATGGCCCTGGGTGCAATTTTTTGGTCCTAGGACTGTTTTTTTTAAGAAGTACATACCCAAAGTTGAGTAAAAAAAAGCTTTAAAAAAGTGAATTTTGCGTAAAAGGTCCCCTTTAACATATTTCTCAATATATAAAATTTAACAAACATCAAAACAACATCCAGCTCTTTGTATTGTAACATCAGTTTTTAACAAATTTCTTTAAGGTGAAAACTCTTGAAAACAAGACTGTTTTGTCTTATTGTGAAAGTGGCGGTACTTTATTTACTTTGAGCAAGCAAATGCCGTGTTCACAAGATAATTAATCCACCAGATACAGAGACGGTCTGTTTGGCGACTTTTACTCCAAGAGCTGCGAGGCTTTCATGCTACATTCAGACTGAACTCTGTTTACTGAACCAGAGGCTGCTGACGTCATTACACTCTTGCGCGATGCTGCGTTCAGGACAAGCATGGAAAACTCAACACTCTTACGCCACTACGGTTGCAATGATGGGTTTAGGTACCGAAACATGGTACCATTTGATGTTACGTTAACAGGTTCTCGGTAGTTCCAACAGAATTCGGTCTGTAGTTAAAAAGGTATTGAATTCGGTACCCATCCCTAGCCGCGCACTCTTATTCCTAAACAAAAGCAGCTCTCTCCAGGAGGAAATTTGCTGTCAGTTAATCCAAGAGTTAACCCATGGGCAGAATTCTGCTAACGTCAAAATCATAAGCATGCTATACTCACTTCTACCCAAACCACCGGAGAGGAGGTTCTGAGACAGCGCGGCTGTGGAGCGCGCTTGGAGAGACGCATTGGGCCAAGACTGAACCAAGTCGAACCAGAACGTCTGGAGATTGTGTGCCGAGGATGTCACTGTTAACAGTGAACACCTGAGGGCGCAATTTAACAGCTTTCTTTGAGGCACTGAAATAAGGCACCGAAGTTAAGAGTTGTATATATTTTGGTCTGTGTACTACCGTTGATGTTCGCCCCTGTGCCATACCGGAACCGAGTTTCAGTACCCAACCCTAGCCATAGATGGTCTTACGACTGTGCCTCTGGCCTGTCTGGTGGGGAACCAGGCTGGGCAGGCCAGTACAGGGATTGGAACAACTCCTWCTCCGGCTTTGGAGCCTGATGTTAATGCTTTGGTCTCTGGAAAACCAGAGGACATTGTGCCTGGAGGCTTGGTGATGGTTTTTGCCTTGTTGCTGATTCTACCAGGAGTATCCAATACGAGGGTAGCCCCTTGGATGCAACTCATTGGGGAGGGGTTGGGGCTTCACAAGACTGGGGTTGGCGCCCCATTGTGGGTCATGAAAGACCAAGTGAGGGGTCTTTAGAAGATCAACAGAAACCAAAATAACTTAAGGACTGCCAACAGCACACATATGAAAACTACTATAATTCTCCGTGTTTGCATACTTCATCCAGCAACAGCTGAGGTCACAGGTCTTTGTGATTTTTGTTTCATGGGTCAAAGGGTAAAAAGGAACCACTGATCTAGGATATTTTATGTGGGTCATACATTTGATATTCAGAAAGATTACCAAAAAGGTTAATACTTTTAGAGCACACTGTACATATCTTTGTAAAATATTTCAATATTTTACCTGGTCAGGTGTAACTATTAAACGGGAGAAAGCGTTGGAACACTGATCTAGTAGGTCTGAAAATGAGAGTTGTGTGTTCACTTCGTCGTACAGATCTGTCAGAGGTGGTGGCAATTTTGGAGTTCTGAACTCCTCGCAGTAATCAGGCAGCACAGACAGGATTACGCTCTTAGCACCTGTAAAAAAGAAATCTATTATTAGCAAAAAAGCTTTCATTGAATTGATGCATATTGCCTGCCACCTTTCATGTCAGATTATCAATGAAAAATAACAGTTGTGGCTATTTTGATTAAATTTGTAACTGCTGTTAGGTGCAATGTCATGTAATAATCTTGAAGATCTTGCAGGATGGTTAGTGCATATTGTCAACATGTGCATATAAATAGTTCACTTGAACATTTTTGTGTTTTCTAAAGTGAATTAGTCATGACGGCAATTTTGAATTTGTTTGAATTCAAAAGTAAAACTGTTGTAGATGTAGACATAATACTTACTGAGTTGAATTTATAATATGTCCCATTCATTGGTGCATGAGATATTTTGCCAACATGACAGTCAAGTCAATGTCAGATTTTAATAAAGGGTAGACATAAGGAATTTTTTTTTGACAAAATCTGGTTGTTCGCAAAACATTTTATGTTCAAAACAAATTTCAAGAAAAATGTCATTTAAAAAGGTATATTGTTCTGTATACAAGTTTCTTACATACAAATGTTCTCAGTCAGCCAGGCCGACAGTTTCAGAAGCTACTTGAGTAAAACTTCCTCAATCTTCTCCTGTTCTTTGAAAAAGAGACACTCAGAGTATTTACTGCTCAGGGATTAAAGTAGCAAAAAAAGGTTACTCAACATTCATCTCCCTGCTTACAGGTCAAACATATTTAAATAGGAGTATACTGTGTACATGACCTTATTAGTTAGTTTAGTGTTCTTAGGACTGAAGACTTTCTAAAGAAAGAAAGTTCTTTGCACAGAAAAAATGTTTTGTCTTGTTTTTTTTAACAAAACTGACAAGTGTCTCCAAAAAATTATTGTTTAATTTAAAGGGATTAAAACAGGTAGAATTAAATTTTGAAGATATTTATGATAAACTACAAACAACTGAAGCTGATTCAGAGAATTCTGTGATTTTAGAAAAATAAAAAACAATGTCAAGCGTAGCTACGTCTTTGTTAGAATTTGGGGCATACAAACACAGTATTTCATCTTTAAGATAGCGCTGCTCCTTTGAGAATTAGGAGTCCACGCGCCAGTTGTACATTTCTGTAAGAAAACAACTACGCTTCAAACATTAATATTTAAATAATGAAAAGAGTTTAAACTTTGAAGTCCTGGGCTGGMCAAGAGATGCAACAGCCGCAGTCAAGCCGCCTCAGAGCTTCTGTTTTGAAAATAATGGTCAAGTGATCTCTCGCAGTTTTTTGTGCTCGTGAACACACGTTATTATGGAAATGCTGGGAGGTGCCTTCAGAAATAGCCTGGCTCTTGCCTTCCTATGCAGTTCCGCTCAATTCTAGTTTCCCTTCATTGCTCCATCTGGGATTTCTCCCATAGACAAGGATTTCTTCGTTAGAATTTTACCTGGGCCAATCAGCGAACAGAAGGAGGAGTTTAGATTGGCAACGTCAATTTTCTGTGAAGTGTCAGCTTGTAGTTTAGCAATGGTAGTGGAGGAAGTGAATGAAGCCAGTCTTTGTTGACAAGGCTTCCAAATTAAATTAAATTTGTCTGACAAAGCCTGCAGCACTCATTTACAGCCATCTCATTCGGCTTGGTACTTCGCTGCTTTCAGTAGGGATGTTTACAGCGCACGCAATTTCCAGTTAGCCTTTTAGCTTAGCCTCCTTCACAGTGGAGCTGTCCCACTGCATATGTCGTGGCCAACTATTAGCAATTGTGTAAATCAGTTCTAATTGTTTAAAATTTCAACAGAGCCCARGCCTCCAGCAAGAAATCGCTTCTCAATAYCCAGGAGTCCAGACCCTCTATACGGAGCAAAGCAAAGAACAAGAGGATGGTTTTTACCAGGCTACTTCAGAAACATAATATATAATCAAGTCCACCGGACAACCAGGAGGCGGGATCTGGTTGTCCAATGAAAAAAGATAGGTCGTCTCGGACAAACTAAATATCGCTTATGTCGACCCCTGTTAATACAGCATGTTAAAAAAGGCAACAAATGGCAATTAAAGTGCTGTACAACAATAATTACATAAAACAAACGTTTTCACACACACACATGCAAAAACATTTTCCTTTCATCAAAGGATAAAAATTGGTATGAATTTTTTTACTATTTTATTATGAAAAAAATTTGTTAAAAAATGTGTTCAGTGTTAACTACATAGAGAATCAATAAACTGAGTTTGACTAACCTGAATCAGCAACACTCTTATAAAACTGCTTAATTTCATCTTCGGTGGGTGCTGGTACATGTACAGGTGTATCTGAGCAGTTGTGGGTCGTCTGAAATAACAAACACAACTGTAAACATTCAATTTCAAAAATAAAAGACTTGGTTTTGCAATTCACAAACATACAGTAAAAGCCTATATTCAATTCAATTCAATTCAGTTTATTTAGCGCCAAGTCACAARGTACGTTGTCTCAGGGCACTGTACATGAARAAAAGAACTATCTAAAGAAGAAGCCAGCAGATTGTGTTGAATCACTTCATCACAGTCTCCCATCCTGAGCAAATGGTGGAGGAAAAACTCCCTGCTAATCAGGAAGAAACCTCCATCAGAACCAGGCTCAGGACAGGAGACCATCTGCCTCGACCTGGGTCGGCTGGGTTGGGGGACAGGAAAGAGACACAGGCAAACAAAGATATGTACCTTGTTCCTCTTTACTGGAGCCAAAAAATGATTGTCACATGTAGATTCAGTAAGGTATTGATGGTATGAGCACGCCACATCTTGTTGTATGCGCACACCTTAAAAAAAATCAGAATAACAATGTCAGTAAAAAAACTCATTATGACCCGATAATTATATGGAAAAAAATAATACTGCAACTTACAGGCATCAATTGCAAAAAGAGCAGCAACCACGTGTGAACAGGCCTCACTGAGCACGGACCCACATGTACAGTGAGAAGAAACTACATCTCCATCAGGCTGAATGATCACCCAGACATCATGAGGCTTTTTATTTGTGTCTTCTGATTGGTTCACCTGAATTTTAAAAGTATACTTTTACTGTCAATTTTACTGAACCTTTTTTTCTTGCCTTGTGTTTTCACTGTATACTGAGATGAGAAAATAAAGTCACATCTGTTACACTAGCACAGGACTGCAGAACATTGACAAATGTGTGATGTGCAATAATTAGGTTTAATATTGCAATCACAATATGAATTGCGAATAATAGTTGAACTGACCATAAATATTACTAGCAAAACAACTTGAAACATATTGSTTTATGATTCATTGCAGTCCAAGCAGTCATTCGTATTGTGCTGTGCTTACTGTTGCAATAATAAGTTTGTGAAATATTCTGATCAGAATATCGCTTAAGCAAGGCCAGGTTGCCACGGATCTATTGGTAAAATTCAAAATTGCATTAGCAATGGCCCACATAGCAAGACGGTACACCATTAAAAATAAAATAAAATTAAATAATAAGGTGTTAATGCAACAACAACTTAGCATACACCATTGCTACATTGGTGGTAAGCTGCAATTTTCTACACAAGTTTAGTGGATTAGCTTTTWCACTAACTTTAAAAAAATGTTAGTGGACCATTTAACTTCTGCTAAATTAGGGTTTTGCCAACTTTAACTTTGACTAATAAACTAACAACAGGTTGGTGTCAGTAAGAGAAGAATACCTGTGACGCAAACTGAATGACAGTCGACTTAGTGATGAGCTGTTAGGGTCATCTTCCATTAATTTTTATAAAACATAAAGATTAACTGTTGTACACACTATGTACCGCATACATTTTTAAAAAACAATGCAAAATGTGGACTCAGTCGTACAAACATAGAATTCCCAGTCAATAAACTTTCAATAAAGTATTAGTTATTATAGATTTAATTAATCTTACCTTACTAGTTATAATGAACTTATTTTTCTTGTTGCAGACCATTAATGTTCTAACCCAACCATCACAGAAGTATTTGTATGCATCAAGGCTTTTGTATTTCTTCAGAACTTCTCCACTGTAACCTACATTTTACAAAATCAGTTTATATCAGATATAGCATATATCCAATAAAGAGTATAATCATTTGACTACATTTAATTCATGAGAGAAACATACCTGGTAGATTGACGAGGTACAGGTATAAATCAGGATAGCTGAAGTCTGGTAACTCACTGATGGTGCAATSTTCAGCAGCTTTCTGTTCAACACAGGAGATTAAATATGGGTCCTCACCAACATCCGCGATCTTGGCTTCATAATGACGTCTGGCAACGTCGTCTAGTCCTCGGTAGTAATCGGATTCCATCTCATTACGATGAGAAATGCTACCCCGTGCAGTGTGTCAGGTCTTGTTTTGTTAAGCAAGCACACAAACTGGGTGATGGCGCCACACAACAAATCCAAAGCGTGTAACTAAAAACAGAAACACGACACAAATTATATCAGAAGTTCAATGAATGGAAAACAATAAAGAACTCAGACGAAGCTGAAGTTGGTTCCCAATTGTCAGGAAATGACTAAAGGGCGATTACACCTAATTTTTCACTACCTTGAGTATTTTTAATCTGCTCTAGTTTAAAAATTAAAATACTTGAACACTTCTGGACTACATCATTGTACACTGATTTCAGAATATTTAAAACTGAGTTTGTGCGGGGTTCGACAAGATTTTWGTTTTTTATCTACCCGGTCGGGCATTGGAGCTCTTTTTCAAGCAGCCCTGAAAAAGAAAATGTTCTCAGCCAGGCGGCAAGTGCCATTAGATTTGTCCGACCAGACTAAATAATTATTCTACACTTATAGAAGAATATTTAAAAACAAATTCGAGATTTGTGAAACCTTTATCTAATATATGAAACTTCAATAACTTTTTATGCATCTGGACCACACTAGACCTGGTCCTGATGCAAACCCACAACATGTAGACTCTTCAAACCTGGACTAGATCATTCTTCACTTATAATAGAATATTTAAAACCATGTTTGTGATTTGTGAAACCTCAATAATGGGTGATTACAAGACTTTTTACGCATTTGAATAACACTAGACTAGGGTTGGGCAATATTGGCAAAAAAAATAATCACGATTAATTGTGGTATTTAGCCGATAACGAATAATTTGACGATTAATCCCCTGGAGTCCCTGGACACCCTTATTTCGTAGTGATGACCAATTTAGTGGGAAAGATTTGGTCTTTGTAAAAAAAAAAAAAAATGCAAAATTGTGTGAAAATTACAGATTTCAGGATTTACATCATATTTTAAATTGTGTTGATAGAAAAATAAATTACAGAACTTTATTTTTAATGTTCGTCCTATTTGAAGCAGAGAGGAGCAACAAGCAGACTGACCAGAGTAATCCCCAGTCAGTCAGCCTGGTGGCATTAATCATATTAATCAAGTGCCAAAAAGTAATCGATTAATGTTTTTCTGGCGATTAATTGCACACGATACGATTATGCCCAACCCTACACTAGACCTGGTCCAGTTCCAAAACTACTACAACATCAGCACCCTGGACCCTTCATACGTGGACCCTCATTCTGCACTTCCAGTAGAATATTTAAAACGTTTTGGATTTGTGAAACCTTTACCTAATTTTTGAGCCTTTACTTGGTTAGTGTACATTTAATAAAGGGCCATATTAGTGCTTTTCTCATCTTCATTGTAGCTAGATGTGGTCTTGCATTTTGTTTAGCTGTGATATCTTCCTGCAGTTTGGCATCAACTGACATAATGCTGCCAACAACTTAACATTCACCTTTCCCTGCTATTAACTTCTTGATTTTCTTTAACAGAAAGTACTCGTATATCCAGGGTTGCACATAAAATTTGTGGTCTGGTTCTCAGGGGAGAACCGTAATAAGCTGTGTAAACARGCAATTTATTTGTTCAGGAGCTCTGAACCGTGGATGGTGTGACCGCGCGGTACAGCAGCCGTGGGTAACAAAGCTGAAGTTAGCTTCCTGTCATGTCACTTCCGATTCCAGCTTCCGATTCGGGAAATGACTAAAGGGATATTACAACTATTTTTTCACTACCTTGCGCATGTTTAACCTGCTCTAGCTCCAAAACTACAACACCTACACTCTTCAAATCTGGACTAGATTATTCTACACTAAAAGAAGAATATTTAAAAACACGTTTGGGATTTGGGAAAGCCTTGTCTGATTTGTGAAACTTCAACAAAGTTTGTTTTTCATCGTTTTTATTAGAGGTGTCCCGATACCGATACCAGTATCGGAATCGGATCCGATACCAGCATCAAGTACTCGTACTCGTACTCGTAAAAGCCAGCCGATACTCTTAACCGATACCACTTTTGTCCCCTCCTGCGCTGCGCTGCACAAAGGGTAAACAACAATCCATACCAGGCGGGGGCGCTAACGCATTGACAAGTTATTTCCGACCGCACCCCCGAATAACAGAAGAAGAACGATGAGAAGAAAAGAAGAAGAAGAAGGAACAAATCGGCAGTTTGGAGATATTTTAAGATCGACACGGAGGACACCACACAAGCAGACTGTCTGCTGTGCTCTGCTAAAC